TTCCTCGACAGTTCTAAATTATGGCGATGTAGCTCAAATAGTAGAGCTCTTGCTTTGCATGCGAGAGGTACGGGGATCGATGCCCCGCATCTCCAAAACTAGAGCCACTCATCAAATGGTAATCACTATCTGCAGATAATCTATTGCATGTTGAAATTCCTAACAAGTAGATTTTCTGCGAACGAAAAAAAAACTTCATAGTTGCTGACTAAGCGAAAAAAAATTCTGCGAGATTTGAAAACCATGGGATGTAGGTCAAATGGTAGAGCGCCCACTTATCAAGCCAGAATTACGGGGAGCAATACCCCGAATCTCCAAAGTTAAGGACATCGAGTTTTTAATTAATTTTCTTCAGAAAACTACTGAATATTGAAGTCTTATACAAGAAATACCTTCCCAGAAAATTTATAACCTCTTGTTTGCCGACTGAAATAAAAGCTTCCTCGACAGTTCTAAACTATGGGGACGTAGCTCAAATGGTAGAGCGCTAGCTTTGCATGCGAGAGGTACGGGGATCGATGCCCCGCATCTGCAAAACTAGAGCCACTCACCAAATGGTAATCACTATCTGCAGATAATCTATTGCATATTGAAATTCCTAACAAGTAGATTTTCTGCGAACGAAAAAAAAATTTCATAGTTGCTGACTAAGCGAAAAAAATTCCGAGAGATTTGATACACATGGAATGTAGGTCAAATGGTAGAGCGCCTTCTTAGCAAGCCAGAAGTACGGTGAGCAACACCCCGCATCTCCGAAGTTAAGGACATCGAGCACTTATTTAATTTTCTTCAGAAAACTACTGAGTATTGAGGTCTTATACAAAAAATACCTTCCAAGAAAAATTTTAACCTCTTGTTTGGCGACTGAAACAAAAACTTCCTCGACAGTTATAAATCATGGGGATGTAGCTCAAATGATAGAGCGCTCGCTTAGCTAGCGAGAGGTACGGTGATTAATGCCCCGCATCTCCAAATCTAGAGTCACTCATTAACTGGTAAACACTATCTCCAGATAATCTTTTGCATATTGAAATTCCTAACGAGTAGATTTTCTGCGAACGAAAAGAAAAACTTCATAGTTGCTGACTAAGCGAAAAAAAATTCCGCGAGATTTGCTAAACATGGGATGTAGGTCAAATGGTAGAGCGCCCACTTATCAAGCCAGAAGTAGGGGTAGCAATACCCCGCATCTCCAAAGTTAAGGACATCGAGTTTTTAATTAATTTTCTTCAGAAAACTACTGAATATTGAAATCTTATACAAGAAACACCTTCCCAGAAATTTTTTAACCTCTTGTTTGGCGACTGAAACAAGAGCTTCCTCGACAGTTCTAAACCATGGGGATGTAGCTCAAATGGTAGAGTGCTCGCTATGTATTCGAGAGGTACGGGGATCGATGCCCGGCATCTCCAAAACTAGAGCCACTCATCAAATGGTAATCACTATCTGCAGATAATCCAAAGTTTCTGCGAACGAAAAGAAAAACTTCATAATTGCTGACTAAGCGAAAAAAAATTCCGCGAGATTTGATAAACATGGGATGTAGGTCAAATGGTAGACTGCTCGCTATGTATTCGAGAGGTACGGGGATCGACGCCCGGCATCTCCAAAACTAGAGCCACTCATCAAATGGTTATCACTATCTGCAGATAATCCCAATTTTCTGCGAACGAAAAGAAAAACTTCATAATTGCTGACTAAGCGAAAAAAAATTCCGCGAGATTTGATAAACATGGGATGTAGGTCAAATGGTAGAGCGCTTACTTAGCAAGCCAGAAGTACGGGGAGCAATACCCCGCATCTCCGAAGTTAAGTTCATCGAGCAATTAATTAACTTTCTTCAGAAAACTACTGAATATTGAAGTTTTATACAAGAAATACCTTCCAAGAAAAATTTTAACCTCTTGTTTGCCGACTGAAACAAAAGCTTCCTCGACAGTTATAAATTATGGGGATGTAGCTCAAATAGTAGAGCGCTCGCTGAGCATGCGAGAGGTACGGGGATCAATGCCCCGCATCTCCAAATCTAGAGTCACTCATCAAATGGGAATCATTATCTCCAGATAATCTATTGCATATTGAAATTCCTAACAAGTAGATTTTCTGCGAACGAAAAAAAAACTTCATAGTCGCTGACTAAGCGAAAAAAATTCCGCGAGATTTGATAAACATGGGATGTAGGTCAAATGGTAGAGCGCCCACTTATCAAGTCAGAAGTACGGGGCGCAATACCCCGCATCTCCAAAGTTAAGGACATCGAGTTTTTAATTAACTTTCTTCAGAGAACTACTGAATATTGAAATCTTATACAAGAAATACTTTCCCAGAAAATTTATAACCTCTTGTTTGCCGACTGAAACAAAAGCTTCCTCGACAGTTCTAAATTATGGGGATGTAGCTCAAATAGTAGAGCTCTCGCTTACTAGCTCTCGCATGCGAGAAGTACCGGGATCGATGCCCGGCATCTCCAAAGCTAGAGCCACTCATCAAATGGTAATCACTATCTCCAGATAATCTATTGCATATTGAAATTCCTAACAAGTAGTATTTCTGCGAACGAAAAGAAAAACTTCTTAGTTGCTGACTAAGCGAAAAATAATTCCGCGAGATTTGAAAACCATGGGATGAAGGTCAAATGGTAGAGCGCCCACTTATGCAATACCCCGCATCTCCAAAGTTAAGGACATCGAGTTTTTAATTAATTTTCTTCAGAAAACTACTGAATATTGAAATCTTATACAAGAAATACCTTCCCAGAAAATTTATAACCTCTTGTTTACCGATTGCCGACTGAAATAAAAGCTTCCTCGACAGTTCTAAACTACGGGGCTGTAGCTCAAATGGTAGAGCGCTCGCTTGGCATGCGAGAGGTACGTGGATCGAAGCCCCGCATCTTCAAAACTAGAGCCACTCACAAAATGGTAATCACTATCTGCAGATAATCTATTGCATATTGAAATTCCTAACAAGTAGATTTTCTGCGAACGAAAAGAAAAACTTCATAGTTGCTGACTAAGCGAAAAAAATTCCGCGAGATTTGATAAACATGGGATGTAGGTCAAATGGCAGAGCGCCCACTTATCAAGCCAGAAGTACGGGTAGCAATACCCCGCATCTCCAAAGTTAAGGACATCGAGTTTTTAATTAATTTTCTTCAGGAAATTACTGAATAATGAAATCTTATACAAGAAACACCTTCCCAGAAAAATTTTAACCTCTTGTTTGGCGACTGAAACAAAAGCTTGCTCGACAGTTCTAAACTATGGGGATGTAGCTCAAATGGTAGAGTGCTCGCTTTGTATTTGAGAGGTACGGGGATCGATGCCCGGCAGCTCCAAAACTTGAGCCACTAATCAAATGGTAATCACTATCTGCAGATAATCCCAATTTTCTGCGAACGAAAAGAAAAATTTCATAATTGCTGACTAAGCGAAAAAAAATTCCGCGAGATTTGATAAACATGGGATGTCGCTAAAATGGTAGAGCGCCTACTTAGCAAGCCAGAAGTACGGGGAGCAATACCCCGCATCTCCAAAGTTAAGGTCATCGAATTTTTAATTAACTTACTTCAGAAAGCTACTGAATATTGAAATCTTATACAAGAAATACCTTCCCAGAAAATTTATAACCTCTTGTTTGCCGACTGAAACAAAAGCTTCCTCGACAGTTATAAATCATGGGGATGTAGCTCAAATGATAGAGCGCTCGCTTAGCATGCGAGAGGTACGGGGAGCAATGCCCCGCATCTCCAAAAATTGAGTCACTCATCAAATGGTAATCACTATCTCCAGATAATCTATTGCATATTGAAATTCCTAACAAGTAGAGTTTCTGCGAACGAAAAGAAAAACTTCATAGTTGCTGACTAAGCGAAAAAAAATTCCGCGAGATTTGATAAACATGGGATGTAGGTCAAATGGAAGAGAGCCCACTTATCAAGCCAGAAATACGGGGAGCAATACCCCGCATCTCCAAAGTTAAGGTTATCGAATTTTTAATTAACTTACTTCAGAAAGCTACTGAATATTGAAATCTTATACAACAAATACCTTCCCAGAAAATTTATAACCTCTTGTTTGCCGACTGAAACAAAAGCTTCCTCGACAGTTATAAATCATGGGGATGTAGCTCAAATGGTAGAGCGCTCGCTTAGCATGCGAGAGGTACGGTGATCAATGCCCCGCATCTCCAAAAACTTGAGTCACTCATCAAATGGTAATGACTATCTCCAGATAATCTATTGCATTTTGAAATTCCTAACAAGAAGATTTTCTGCGAACGAAAAGAAAAACTGCATAGTTGCTGACTAAGAGAAAAAAAAATTCCCCGAGATTTGATAAACATGGGATGTAGGTCAAATGGAAGAGCGCCCACTTATCAAGCCAGAAGTACGGGGAGCAATACCCCGCATCTCCAAAGTTAGGACATCGAGTTTTTAATTAACTTTCTTCAGAAAGCAACTGAATTTTGAAATCTTATACAAGAAATACCTTCCCAGAAAATTTATAACCTCTTGTTTGCCGACTGAAACAAAAGCTTCCTCGACAGTTACAAAACATGGGGGTGTAGCTCAAATGGTAGAGCGCTCGGTTAGCATGCGAGAGGTACGGTGATCAATGCCCCGCATCTCCAAAAACTTGAGTCACTCATCAAATGGTAATGACTATCTCCAGATAATCTATTGCATTTTGAAACTCCTAACAAGAAGATTTACTGCGAACGAAAAGAAAAACTGCATAGTTGCCGACTAAGCGAAAAAAAAAATCCCCGAGATTTGATAAACATGGGATGTAGGTCAAATGGAAGAGCGCCCACTTATCAAGCCAGAAGTACGGGGAGCAATACCCCGCATCTCCAAAGTTACGACATCGAGTTTTTAATTAACTTTCGTCAGAAAATTACTGAATATTGAAATCTTATACAAGAAATACCTTCCCAGAAAATTTATAACCTCTTGTTTGCCGACTGAAACAAAAGCTTCCTCGACAGTTCTTAATTCTGGGGATGTAGCTCAAATAGTAGAGCTCTCGCTTTGCATGCGAGAGGTGCGGGGATCGATTCCCCGCATCTCCAAAGCTAGAGCCACTCATCAAATGGCAATCACTATCTCCAGATAATCCATTGCATATTGAAATTCCTAACAAGTAGATTTTCTGCGAACGAGAAGAAAAAAACATAGTTGCTGACTAAGCGAAAAAAGTTTCGCGAGAATTGATAAACATGGGATGTAGGTCAAACGGTAGAGCGCCCACTTATCAAGTCAGAAGTACGGGGAACAATACCCCGCATCTCCGAAATTAAGGACATCGAGCAATTAATTAATCTTGTTCTGAAAACTACTGAATCTTGAAGTCTTATACAAGAAATACCTTCCAAGAAAAATTTTAACCTCTTGTTTGCCGACTGAAACAAAAGCTTCCTCGACAGTTTTAAATCATGGGGATGTAGCTCAAATGGTAGAGCGCTGGCTTAGCCAGCGAAAGGTATGGGAATCAATGCCCCGCATCTCCAAATCTAGAGTCACTCATGAAATGGTGATCACTATCTCCAGATGATCCATTGCATATTGATATTCCTAACAAGTAGATTTTCTGCGAACGAAAAGAAAAATTCATAGTTGCTGACTAAGCGAAAAAAAATTCCGCGAGATTTGAAAAACATGGGATGTAGGTCAAATGGTAGAGCGCCCGCTTATCAAGCCAGAAGTACGGGGAGCAATACCCCGCATCTCCAAAGTTAAGGACATCGAGTTTTTAATTAATTTTCTTCAGAAAACTACTGAATATTGAAATCTTATACAAGAAATACCTTCCCATAAAATTTATAACCTCTTGTTTGCCGACTGAAATAAAAGCTTCCTCGACAGTTCTAAACTATGTGGATGTAGCTCAAATGGTAGAACGCTCGCTTTGCATGCAAGAGGTACGGGGATTGATTCCCCGCATCTCCAAAACTAGAGCCACTCATCAAATGGCAATCACTATCTCCAGATAATCTATTGCATATTGAAATTCCTAACAAGTAGATTTTCTGCGATCGGGAAGAAAAAAAACATAGTTGCTGACTAAGCGAAAAAAAAATTCGCGAGAATTGATAAACATGGGTTGTAGGTCAAATGGTAGAGCGCCCACTTATCAAGTCAGAAGTACGGGGAGCAATACCCCGCATTTCCGAAATTAGGGACATCGAGCAATTAATTAACCTTGTTCTGAAAACTACTGAATATAGTCTTATACAAGAAATACCTTCCAAGATAAAAATTTTAACCTCTTGTTTGCCGACTGAAACAAAAGCTTCCTCGACAGATTTAAAGCATGGGGATTTAGCTCAAATGGTAGAGCGCTCGCTTAGCATGTGAGAGGTACGGGGATCAATGCCCCGCATCTCCAAATCTAGGGTCACTCATGAACTGGTAATCACTATCTCCAGATAATCCATTGCATATTGATATTCCTAACAAGTAGATTTTCTGCGAACGAAAAGAAAAACTTCATAGTTGCTGACTAAGCGAAAAAAAATTCCGCGAGATTTGAAAAACATGGGATGTAGGTCAAATGGTAGAGCGCTCACTTATCAAGCCAGAAGTACGGGGAGCAATACCCCGCATCTCCAAAGTTAAGGACATCGAGTTTTTAATTAATTTTCTTCAGAAAACTACTGAATATTGAAATCTTATACAAGAAATACCTTCCCAGAAAATTTGTAACCTCTTGTTTGCCGACTGAAATAAAAGCTTCCTCGACAGCTCTAATTTATGGGGATGTAGCTCAAATGGTAGAGCGCTCGCTTTGCATGCGAGAGGTACGGGGATTGATGCCCCGCATCTCCAAAACTAGAGCCACTCTTCAAATGGTAATCACTATCTCCAGATAATCTATTGCATATTGAAATTCCTAACAAGTAGATTTTCTGCGAACGAGAAGAAAAAAAATATAGTTGCTGACTAAGCGAAAAAAATTTCGCGAGAATTGATAAACATGGGATGTAGGTCAAATGGTAGAGCGCCCACTTATCAAGTCAGAAGTACGGGGAGCAATACCCCGCATTTCCGAAATTAAGGACATCGAGCAATTAATTAACCTTGTTCTGAAAACTGCTGAATATAGTCTTATACAAGAAATACCTTCCAAGATAAAAATTTTAACCTCTTGTTTGCCGACTGAAACAAAAGCTTCCTCGACAGTTTTAAATCATGGGGATGTAGCTCAAATGGTAGAGCGTTTGCTTAGCATGCGAGAGGTACGGGGATCAATGCCCCGCATCTCCAAATCTAGAGTCACTCATGAACTGGTTATCACTATCTCCAGATAATCCATTGCATATTGATATTCCTTACAAGTAGATTTTCTGCGAACGAAAAGAAAAACTTCATAGTTGCTGACTAAGCGAAAAAAAATTCCGCGAGATTTGAAAAACATGGGATGTAGGTCAAATGGTAGAGCGCTCACTTATCAAGCCAGAAGTACGGGGAGCAATACCCCGCATCTCCAAAGTTAAGGACATCGAGTTTTTAATTAATTTTCTTCAGAAAACTACTGAATATTGAAATCTTATACAAGAAATACCTTCCCAGAAAATTTATAACCTCTTGTTTGCCGACTGAAATAAAAGCTTCCTCGACAGTTCTAAACTATGGGGTTGTAGCTCAAATGGTAGAGCGTTTGCTTAGCATGCGAGAGGTACGGGGATCAATGCCCCGCATCTCCAAAACTAGAGCCACTCATCAAATGGTAATCACTATCTGCAGATAATCTATTGCATATTGAAATTCCTAACAAGTAGATTTTCTGCGAACGAAAAAAAACGTCATAGTTGCTGACTAAGCGAAAAAAATTCTGCGAGATTTGATAAACATGGGATGTAGGTCAAACGGTAGAGCGCCCACTTATCAAGCCCGAAGTACGGGGAGCAATAACCCGCATCTCCAAATTTAAGGACATCGAGTTTTTAAATAATTTTCTTCAGAAAACTACTGAATTTTGAAATCTTATACAAGAAATAACTTCCCAGAAAATTTATAACCTCTTGTTTGCCGACTGAAACAAAAGCTTCCTCGAGAGTTCTAAGTTAAGGGGATGTAGCTCAATTAGTAGAGCTCTCGCTTTGCGTGCGAGAGGTACGGCGATCGATTCCCCGCATCTCCAAAGCTAGAGCCACTCATCAAATGGTAATCATTATCTCCAGATAATCTATTGCATATTGAAATTCCTAACAAGTAGATTTTCTGCGAACGAAAAGAAAAACTTCTTGTTGCTGACTAAGCGAAAAAAAATTTCGCGAGAGTTGATAAACATGGGATGTAGGTCAAATGGTAGAGCGCCTACTTAGCAAGCCAGAAGTACGGGGAACAATACCCCGCATCTACGAAGTTAAGGACATCGAGCAATTAATTAACCTTCTTCAGAAAACTACTGAATATTGAAGTCTTATACTAGAAATACCTTCCAAGAAAAATTTTGACCTCTTGTTTGCCGACTGAAACAAAAGCTTCCTCGACAGTTATTAATCATGGGGATGTAGCTCAAATGGTAGAGCGCTCGCTTAGCATGCGAGAGGTACGGGGAGCAAAGCCCCGCATCTTCAAATCTAGAGTCACTCAGCAAATGTTAATGACTATCTCCAGATAATCTATTGCATATTGAAATTCCTAACAAGTAGATTTTCTGCGAACGAAAAGAAAAACTTCTTAGTTGCTGACTAAGCGAAAAAAATTCCGCGAGATTTGAAAACCATGGGATGTAGATGAAAAGGTGGAGCGCCCACTTATTAAGCCAGAAGTACGGGGAGCAATATACCGCATCTCCAAAGTTAAGGACATCGAGTTTTTAATTCATTTTCTTCAGAAAACTACTGAATATTGAAATCTTATACTAGAAATACCATCACAGAAAATTTAAAACTCTTGTTTGCCGACTGAAATAAAAGCTTCCTCGACAGTTCTAAACTATGGGGATGTAGCTCAAATGGTAGAGAGCTCGCTTTCCATGCGAGAAGTACGGGGATCGATGCCCCGCATCTCCAAAACTAGAGCCACTCACCAAATGGTAATCACTATCTGCAGATAATCTATTGCATATTGAAATTCCTAACAAGTAGATTTTCTGCGAACGAAAAAAAAACTTCATAGTTGCTGACTAAGCGAAAAAAAATCCGCGAGATTTGATACACATGGAATGTAGGTCAAATGGTAGAGCGCCTTCTTAGGAAGCCAGAAGTACGGAGAGCAATACCCCGCATCTCCGAAGTTAAGAACATCGCGCAATTATTTAACTTTCTTCAGAAAACTACTGAATATTGAAGTCTTACACAAAAAATACCTTCCAAGAAAACTTTTAACCTCTTGGTTGCCGACTGAAACAAAAGCTTCCTCGACAGTTATAAATCATGGGGATGTAGCTCAAATGGTAGAGCTCTCGCTTAGCATGCGAGAGGTACGTGGATCAAGGCCCCGCATCTCCAAATCTAGAGTCACTCATTAAATATTAATAACTATCTCCAGATAATCTATTGCATATTGAAATTCCTAACAAGTAGATTTTCTGCGAACGAAAAGAAAAACTTCATAGTTGCTGACTAAGCGAAAAAAATTTCCGCGAGATTTGATAAACATGGGATGTAGGTCAGATGGTAGAGCGCCCACTTATCAAGCCAGAAGTACGGGGAGCAATACCCCGCATCTCCAAAGTTAAGGACATCGAGTTTTTAATTAATTTTCTTCAGAAAACTACTGAATATTGAAATCTTATACAAGAAATACCTTCCCAGAAAATTTATAACCTCTTGTTTGCCGACTGAAATAAAAGCTTCCTCGACAGTTCTAAACTATGGGGATGTAGCTCAAATGGTAGAGCGCTCGCTTTTTGTGCGAGAGGTACGGGGATCGATGCCCCGCATCTCCAAAACTAGATCCACTCAATAAATGGTAATCACTGTCTCCAGATAATCTATTGCATATTGAAATTCCTAACAAGTAGATTTTCTGCGAACCAAAAGAAAAACTTCATAGTTGCTGACTAAGCGAAAAAAATTTCCGCGAGATTTGATAAACATGGGATGTAGGTCAGATGGTAGAG